GTATAATCACTTGCTGGAAACATCATCACTGATTGTTGCCGGAAGCGTTATAATTCAGAGAATACTACACCAAACACATACAAGGAATTATATTCATTTCTACAACCGGAAGGCAACAAAATCTACCGTGTTTCTCATATAATAAGGCCGGGTCTTATTTTTTTTTGAGCCCCCCAAAAATGGCTAGGCTGTCTTTTCGAGGGTGACTTAATTCCCCCCCTCTTGCATCTTCGGGCGGGCAGCGACGGCTTGGATGTTGACCTCAGCATTGGTGGGGCACTTCGTATCGGGGTCAACGCAAGGCAGCACCATATCCAGGTGTGCAAGAAAAGTACTTCCTAATGGCAAGCCCCCCCACCATTCCCCCCCATTTCGCATGTTTTAATATAGGCCTTAATTTGGGGGGGGGAGGGGCTTAATTTCATTTCATGCCTATAAAACATGCTGAGACTTCCTATTGGGGGAGGCTGTATTGTTGGAGAAACAGGGTAGTTCTCAAACCCAAATGATAGTTTGCTTAAATTAATGGTTCTTATCAGAGGGTTCACAATTACCGTATTTTTTGCACTATAAGATGCACTTTTCTCGCCCAAAAAAGTGGGTGGAAATGTCTTATAGAGAGAATGTTGCTGAAGCCCTGCCTACCTGCCGGCTCCCACCCTTCGGCCTCTGCCTCTCAGCAATTTGCCTCCTTGCGGCAAACAGAAAACAGTGTCGTCAGCTTCAGCACAGCCTGATTTAGCACGAGCAGCTGATTGGCGGTTGGATCGGTCTCCTGGAATACTGCTGATCAGCTGTTCCAGGCCGTGGGGATCACCGCCCATTGCCGTCTCCACACGTTTTCGGCCTCTGCACGCCCCATTTTTTGCCTTCGTGGGTCCCGTTTTTGGCCCGTTTCAGGTGGCAGGGATTGCTGCCATCGACGCCTATTGTCACTGAACGGCAGCAGCAGACAGCAGTGATCCTTGCTTGGAATAGGCCAAATACGGGACACACGGAGGCCGAAAACAGAACACACGGAGGCCGAAAACAGAACACACGGAGGCCGAAAACAGAACACATGGAGGCCGAAAATGGTGATAGGCGGCAGCAGCAATCATCAGTGACAATGGGCAGCGGCGATCCCTGCAGCTTGGAATAGCAGATTGGCGGTATTCCCGGAGGCTGATCCAACTGCCAATCAGTTGCTCGTGCTAAATCAGGCTGTGCTGAAGCTGACCAGGCTGTTTGCTGCAAGGAGGCAAATTGCTGGGAGGCAGAGGCAGATTTTTTTTCTTGTTTTCCTCCCCAAAAGCTAGATATGTCTTATGGTCTGGAGCGTCTTATAGTGCAAAAAATATGGTATTTAAAATATTAAATAATATTTTTAAATTACTCAGTTTTCTGATATAGTAAACATCAAAAGAAATAATGCTTAAGCAATATATTTTGTTCATGTCCTAAAATCAGTGTTGAAAACAAATGCAATGTGGCTCTTAGGATAACAGTAGCATTACTGGAGAAGTCCAATCATTGGAAACTAATGCAGGACTTGTTTGGTTTAGAAAGCTGAGCTAACTTCAAATCTGTGTATATCACTTATCCTGTATTTTAAACTTGTTTTTCTTCCTCACATCTTTTAAAAAGTAAAACAGTAATAAACAATATTGAAAACTATCATTAAAATGTTGGTTTCTCACAAGTTTCCACTCAATACTTACTAAGAACGAAGTAATGCATTTTATATATAAATAGATCTAACTGACCTCTACCAACAGACAAGGAATCACATAATCCCAAACTGCACTAGTCACAAAGGAATTAAAAGCCCAGTTTGTAAAGTATAAACCTTATATGGCACTGTTTCTCATCATTATCCTAGAGAGCAGAGTCCCCAGGGGAGAACTGTAACATAAATATATGAGATACATAAGAAAACTTAAAAGTTCTAAAAAAAAACCATTATTTTTTTCTTCTCATTCCAGCCCAATAAATCATCTAGGAATGAATATCCTTCCAGTTAGCTGAGAGAAGAGATCAGTATGTGATCATCAGAATTGAGATATAAGGTCAATGCTGTTGAATAACTATGTGAAGCTTCTGAAGAGGTCAACCCAGAATGAGGCATCATCAATGCACAGATGATACCTGGTTAAATATTCCATCACAGCAAGCCCAGTTCTTAGAAGCTGTTAGCATCTGGATGAGAAAATCAGACTAACATTGAACGTCAGTAAGACAGGGTGAACATGGGTCAAAAATCAGACTGAGATTGGATGTAGTCTATCATTGACCCTGGGTGGGATTGTGGTTACACCTTGGAGATCCTTTTATACCAGCAGTCCACGTTTCAACAGCAGGTAGATAGCATGACAAAGTTGAGCTTTGTCATATGGTCCCCTTCTGCAGCCTTCTGACAAGCAAAGTCAATGGAGAAGCCAGATTCACTTAACATCTGGTTTCTTAACAATTGCAGTGATTCACTTAATGATTACGGCGAGAAAGGTTGCAAAATGGGGGGAAACTCACTTAACTGTCTGACTTAGAAACAGAAATTTTGGGCTCAGTTGTGGTCATAAGGCAAGGCCTACCTGAATAGGAATCTTACTGGATGGCACTTAGCTTCTGAATGCAATTCAAGATGCTGATGTTCACCTTTCATGTTCACCTACACAACTCATGGTTGAATCTGCCTGTCTAATAAGGTCAAGAGGTGACTTGATTATGGTCCAACGGAGGAAACATATAGTCAAATCTTTTCAGTGATAGCCTTGTATGGCATATGGTTTTTAATGGCCCATGGGGACTAGAGTCCTAGAGGGACATCCACCTCTCAGTTGCTGAGGGAATTCAATTTTGTTCTGACCCAAAATTAGAGAGAGAAGAGAAAAAGAAATGGGAGTGGCTGGAGAGAAAAGATGAAGAGTGAAGTTACATAAGCATATAGAACAGTTCTCGGTTCATGGCGAGAGGAGAAGAATAATCCATGGTGGCTTCCTTGGAGGAAGGGAAGGAAAGTCCCAGTGAGATGACATCTTCACCCAAGAAGGAGCGAATTGGCTATTGTTGGAAAAGGTCCAATCTCTGGGGAAGGACTAGGCAGAAGACCTTGAAGGTGATTCTTCCCCCCAAGAGGGGAGAAGGTGACCAGCCAGGTGGATCCAGAAAGATTTGAGTCCATTCTTTTCTTTTCACTTTCAGTAATAAGCCCAGAAATGGGAAGGAGATAGAATGAAGAGGAAGGAAATAAAGCAGTTAGCAGGAGAATTAGAGAAAACTCTCTGAGAGACAGATTAGGATTTGACAACCAGCAAAAGCCAGGATTGTGTTGTATGTACTTGTAGTAAATACTTTTACTATGTAAATCAGGGGTCGCCAACCTTTTGAACCTCAGGGACCACCAAACTCATAATTTTAATTGCTGCGGACCACTAATATGAATTTTGACTGATGGGGGCTTCCTGATGTTGGTGGGAAAATCCATGGCAGGCCAGTGTATCCGGGTGGAGGAGCAGCTGCTCCGGGATGACCAAAGGGCCAGTCCTGTGACTACTACAGCTTTGGAATATGGGATCAACTTTCCTACCAACATCAGCAAGCCACCCCGGGGCGGATTTCCCTCCCTCACTGTTGGTCTTACTTTCCAGTTCCAGCTCTATTCAAGGTAAGGTCTGCGCTCGGCCGAAGAGTGGGAGCCAGCGGGTGGGCGGGCCATGTGGGTGGCACAGCCTTGTGTTCTGGCACAGCATAAATTAATTGCTTTGGGGGGGGACGGACATTTCTCTGCGGACCACCAAAATTTTCTCATGGACCACCAGTGGTCCCCGGCCCACCAGTTGGCAACCACTGAGGTAAATAGTTTCAGTATACATAGTAAAAGTAAGCATAGACATTGCCACTGTCTTTTTCTCTGTCAATTGCCATCTTTGCAAACCTGGATACACCTCCAGTTTAAAAGATTCTAGTCCCACTATGACACCTTCCTTTGGAAAACTCTACTTCCTGATATCTGAAACCACACTGTTCTTATTTTGGAATAGCTATGAAAATATGACAGGAGGGCTTTGGGGGATGAATAAGACCTTTAAATGATGGCTCATCAGATTGTTTACAAGTTGCTATGGACTGCATTTATTACAAGTACGTATTATACCCTACCCAACAATATCCTGTAGGTCATTCAGGGTCTTCAGAAATAAACTAAATAAATAAAGTAAATAAGTAATCAAACTGCATATTTCGTTGAATTAAGACTTCATTGAAGAACCCTACAAGGGGGAGATTTATCTTATGAAAATCACAGATGCAAACATTTTCGGGGATGAAAAAACGGAGGGACCACTGCAGATGGTCTTGATAGTTTTCCAACATTCTCCTGGACCAACTGAATGGAATATTTTGAAATGTCATTTGAGGAATCCAGTGCTCCTCCTCCTAGTTTTGCATAGGTATCTTCAATGAATGTATATGGCAGGGCTGTCAAACTCTAAACCTGCAGGCCAGATATGTCACATGCTGGCCATGCCCATGTCCAGTTTAACAGAGGGGAGGAAAAAAAGTCCCGATACATAACATGATGACATGAGTTTGACACCCCTGGTATATGGAATCAAAAGAGGAGAGGGATCTAGTAGCTCCATGACCTCAGACAATCATGAATAAAGCACTTTTTTCTGCTATTTATTAAAGCTATTTATTATTTCCCTTTTCAGGCTTCTGAGCCTGAAAAATGTAGCTGCTTTAATGAGTCAAATTGCATGAGTCACAATGCATCTTTAATGCTGCTCTTACATCAAAAGCATCCTTTTTCTAAGAATCACGGAAGGCCTGAATGAATAATGGAGAATGGCTTTTAAACTACAAACAGCTCTAAAACCTATCTTTCCATTTGAATCTAATGCTGTGACAGCATACGTTGTTTTGTTGATTATCTCTACATCAAGAGTTTAAGAGTGCTTTTCATTTGAATGTGCATCTGATTACATTATTGGTAGTCCTCAACTTACAACAGTTCATTTAGTGACCGTTCAAAGTTACAGCGACACTGAAAAATTATGACCATTTTTCCACACTGAATTATCCTGTAGATGGACTCCCCTGGGGGAAAAACATCATTCGGGAAAACTCTAAAACTAATCAAAGACAGGGAGAGGGGAAAAAAAGAGGTTTTTGAGTCTTTGTCTTCAAAGTCTCTACTGCTACTTTCAAAAATAGAGAATTTCTCTAGAGAAGAGAATATTTGTAGCTCAGGGTTGAATTGTAGGGACTTCGATGCCCTGTGAGCTTGGTGGCTTTCTTGCAGACATTTCATTACCAACCTTTGTAACAGCCCCAGGATCATGTGATCCAAATTCAGATTTTTTTGCAACTGATTCATACTTATGACTGTTGCTGTGTCCAAAAGTCATGTGGTCCCCTTTTGCAACCTTTTGATAAGCAAAATCAATGGGTGTCAGATTCACTTAACCGTGGTACTAAATTATCAACTGCAGTGATTCAACTGTAGGCAAGGAATATCGTAAAATGGGGCAAAACTCACTTAACAAATGTCTCACTTAACAGAAATGTTGGCCTCAATTGTAATCTTAAGTCGAGGACTGCCTGCATTACATCCCTTTTCTCTTATTATAACGAGATGATGTAAAAGAAAAGAATAAGATCAAAATACATGAAGTATGTTTAAAAAGAAACACTATTGCTATGACTGTTATAGATATAAGTAGCTAAACTCATTCCAGGAGAGTGAGTAGCAATATATGAAAAGCACTTCAACACAGAATAAGGAGACACACCCAATAAAACAAAAAGACACAGAAACAACACCAATGAGTATAGAAATCATATGGCAACCACTTCAAATAGTGGCATGTTGTAAAGTGTTTTTAATTTATGTTTATAATAACCATGCCAAGAAAGTTTCCTGTGCCTCTAAATATTGCCATCTTTTATTTGCTGTCATGTTCCTCTACCTGGATTGAATAAATTGCCATCAGAAGGAATGTATGTCTTGGTGTTTGCCTAATATTACATTCCTACAGATAAAGTCTACATACAGTGTTATTTAGAGGGCAAAATTTAGCACTGAAACACACCCAGAACAAAAGCATCAAAGTTATATCAATGTCAACGCTGTCAGTGGTTAGTCAATAAACTCTCCGTACTTACCCTGAAGGGCTGGTCAGGGATAAATGGGAAATATGGAAGAGATGACTGTTCTTTTCCCCATTCTCCAGATAGGCAGGAATTCCTGAGGAACTGTTTATCTGAAAATATGGCTTTCAGTTTGATTGCTATATCCGCAGGAGGGTCTTCTGAATCTCCACATGTAAGACTGATGTCAAAACTGTAAAAAGCAAGAATATCTCCTCACTCATCCCAAAGAAGCAATGAAATCCAAGATGCAGCCAATGTATAAACAAATGTCTTCCTAACTAGCATTGCCAACAATAATTATAGTAGGCGTTGTTTAGGTTTCAAGTATCCCACTCTAGTTTGTATCTTCTATTTCTATTTAGTTCCTTCATGCCTACCAAAGAGATACTCTCTACCCAGAAACCACGTGTGAAGCATCCCTCCTTGTGCCCATAAGAGTTATTCCCTTATAAATAAATATTACATCTATATATCCGCCCCCTCCCTATAGGTCAAATGAGAAACCAACATTTCTATATTTACAACTACAGATAAAAATAACTGTCCTCGGGAATGATGGATGTTGGGCAGATACATTCTTCTTGTGGGAACACAGCTTTTTCTGGTGGTTCTTGGACAGGGATGGAAAAGCCCTGCCAGGGGAAAGCAGGCTGGGCCTGTGTCTTGTTACCTCTCTGGGTTGAGATCCACGATGCCCATTACCACGACTTTCTTGCCTGGCCTCATTCCTCCTTTGATGTGCCCACAGAAAGGGACAATCTGGAAAAGGATTGCAGGGAGTCAAAATGAGTAGCTGCTGATTACAGAGTGGAAGGAGAAGGGGGCCAGATCAGGCCAGCTTATAAATAAAGAGAGGGAGAGAGGGAAAGCAAATCCTTTACCAGTCGTGGAAAATACACTTCGGCTTGAACTGGGGATCCCAAGGAGTTGTTTAAAAGTCTGTCCTCTATTTTCTAAAAGCAAAAACAAAACAACACGTTCAGACACAAGAAGGCACCCTTTGTGTTCCGCCCAGGGACGGGTGGGAAGGGGAAGAAAGGGGGGGGGGGGGGGGGGAGGCTGCTGAGCAACAGAGCGCCAATTTCATTTCAAGTCTTGAAGAGAGAATCCATCTTTTTCTTCCAGCCCTTCTCGCAAAACAAAGGGTGTTGCCTCCCAATTCCCCAGCAAAGTCTTCCAGGTACAATTCATGCCTGACTGCTCAGATCCATGCACCCCTCCCCCGCTCCCCATCTAGGCACATATCTCACACACCTGATCACCCAAGTACAAAAACGCGAAATACACTTATTTCACACACACACACACACACACGCCGGCAAGGAGAAGGAATAAGAAATCGCGGGCCCAGCCCTCCCCACCGCCTTTCAGTCCCCAAGGCGTTTTTCTTGACGCCGCTGCAAACAGGTCCCCTCCTTCCCTCGAGATCCCAATCCGCAGCTCCCCTCTCCCCTAGATGGAATCCGTCGCCAGGCGGGATCCCGGCGAGAGAGCCCCACCAGAACCAGGCGCCACCGACCCACCTGAAACGGCCGGCTCCCTCACCTTGCCGCCCGGGACCCGCGAAGGATTTGAGGAAAGGGCCACTTACCACCGCGTCCCTCTCCGCCACCGATCCCGCCATCTTGTTGAAACGGTGCAGCGAGCTAAGCTTCGATCGGCTGGAGGAGGAAAGAGGGGGAGCTGCAGGAGGGCAGAACCCGGCTTAGACGTGCCTGCCGAGCGCTGGCCAAGGCGCATCCGGAGCTGAATTGGCAGGGAAGCGGCGAGAGGGAGGGAGCCAGAGGGGGAGGGACGGGGGCGGGAGCTAATCTCGCCTGTCCCGAGCCCGGGATCCAGGAGGCATTCTCCGCAAATCCCCCAAGTCGGCCACGCCGCGCGGAGTTGGGGATGCAGCAGCAGCGGTGCAGTGGAAGATGAAGACGCAGAGCCACCCTGGCACTTCAGGGAGCCCTGGCCCGGATTTCTGGAAGCCCAGTGCAGGGCATAAGGCTGAAAGGAGCCGCGCAGGGTCGGCAATAGCTCAGGCTGTTGCAGCTTCTTCCGTTCGTACTTTGCCTCCGAGCTGTTTTGCTGCGGGAAAGCAGGAAGGGAAAGCCGCCGGCTCTGGAAGGGGGGCACAATGCAGCCCGGCCAGCCTCGGGAGGTGGCAGTGGTTCTAAATAGACCCGGTTAAGGAAGGGAGCCGGCTTGGCTGAGAGGCGGAGCGGGCGGGGCTCAGTTTGGGATCCGCCGGGGTGGGCCTGCCTGCAAGACGCACAAGGATGATCGCTGTGTAAAGCCTAGTCAATCTACCTTTTTTCAACCTTACAGTTTTCATTTGATTTACCGCCCTATTCAAATGCTGGGGTGTTTTGGAATTAACGTAAGCTTTTTTATTTATTTATGAATAACCAGTCTATGTGTGTAATAATACTACAATGCACTATAATAAAAATACTAATTAAAACTAGTAGGTAATAAATCATTGCTTTTTTCTTTGTTGATAATGCAGTCATTGGTCATTTAATGACTTCAGCTCATTAAAAAAAGCACCCCTTGATATGGGAGCATATCATAATATCCAGTAGCTTCTTACGGGAAAATTCATTTTTTTGCTAAAATCACCCTTTCCCGTCAAATGATTAAGACCTTTACAACTCCTTTTGGTTAACTTTCATTTAAGAAGGCAGACCGGAACAAACTTTCTGCCGCCTTTGGCAAACATTTGGAAACTAAAAATAACGATATTGCCACGCGGTGCTGACTGGGGCCTGTACTGAAAGCAGGTTGTTCTTGCATTAGTGTATGCCTTGGTTGTGCAATTTAAAGGGCTCCATCATTTTGTATAGCTCAGCAAAAGGATATTTAAAGGGCTTTCAACCTCACTATATAGTGAAACCTTTGGGGAAAACTACATGGGGAGGAACTCAGTGACCACAGGTACCTGCCAACCTCCCTGCCTACCTGAATTTATTTAAAAAAAAAATGAAATGAGAAACTGGAATGCGCCAGTATGCCAGGCAAACTTTATTTACTGAGGCCCACACAGACTAAATAGGCAAAATTAAAGATGGTAGTGGTTATAGCCCAGCACTTTGGAAGTGTGCCTGTTTGTCAATCCGAAAGTCACAAATAAGTTGGGATGCTAAAAAGTATGATAGATCAATCTTTATAGCAAGAAGCAGATGATGAAAATGTTTTAAATCGTCAATGATTGGCTTATTGAGAACTGATAGTTAGCCATGCTTATTGTGCTAGATATTTTGGGGACAACATTTGGGATTTGTTTCCAATGTTTCAGGTGTGGCCATTGGCCTCAAAAGGTTGCTAATCCTTTCCCAATTCCATGTCTGAGAAGGGATTGGTCGCCTATGCCAAAGGGCCTGCTCCAGGGGTGGTATTTAGCAGGTTCTGACCAGTTCTGGAGAACGGGTAGCAGAAATTTTGAGTAGTTTGGAGAACTGGCAAATATCACTTCTGACTAGAGGTTTTACAGTATCCTTCCCCTGCCACGCCCACCAAGCCACACCCACCACTGGCTCTGTGTCTTGAGAACTTTAAAATATTTTAATCTGAGACATTTATGCAGATACTGTTTATTAATTTCTAAGAAACCATTAGCCTACATTATAAGGATCAACAAAAAAACTCCCACTTGGGTCCCACTTCATTACTATGTAGTTTTGGAGGCCTTTTAATTGAAAAATGGTGTGGAGATTGTGACTTAAATTATCATTGTTCCAGTAGAACTTGCAACAACTGTACTAATATGCACATACATTAAGAAAGAAAAAGAAAACACCTAAGATTATAAACTCATAATTTAGACTTTTAAGTAAACAGTACAACTTTGTTTTGCATCTCTTGAAAATCTTGTTAATCTTAGTTCAAATTAACCTTAAATGGTTACACAAGCTATATATTTTAAAATGTAGCCACCTGTCCACACAACTTTAAAAAGTTTAGCTAACATATTGTGCTTAATATTTTCTCAGTTTTTTAACTAGAGTTATATAGTCCTCTAAGAAATATTCCTGTTAATGCTGGGAAGAGCATCTGATGAAGTGGAGTGTGAAATTTATTCATTCATATGCTGCCATCTCACTATCAAAGTGACTGAGCAGCTTACAACAGAATAAAAGCAAATAAGTGCAGAGGAAAAATGCAAAGTGCAGAGAAGAGCAACAAAAATAATTAGGGGACTGGAGACTAAAACATATGATGAACAGTTGCAGGAACTGGTATGCCTAGTCTAACGAAGAGAAGGACTAGGGAAGACATGATAACAGTGTTCCAATATCTCAGGGTCTGCCACAAAGAAGAGGGAGTTGCCCTGTTCTCTAAAACGGGTCCCCAACTACCGGTCCGCGGACCGGTACCGGTCCGTGGAACAAATCCTACCGGGCCGCTGGTTTGCTGGGCGCCGCCATCTTGTTTTGATGAAAAAGTGCTTCCAGTGAGCTTTTCCGGGTAGAAAGCTCACCAGAAGCACTTTTTCATCAAAACAAGATGGCGGCGCCCAGCTGATGCCGGTACCGGGCCGCAGCATAAAAAAGGTTGGGGACCACTGCTCTAAAATACCCAAGGAAGACAAGAATTAACAGATGGAAACTTATTAAGGAGAAGTCCAACCTATAACTAAGGAGAAATTTCCTGATAGTGAGAATAATAATCAGTGGAATGGCTTACCTTCAGAAATTGCCATTTGTCTGAAATGGTATAAGGTTAGCGTTAGGGTTAGAGCAGAAGATTTCCAAGGTTCCTTCCAATTTCTATTCCATTCTACTCTATTCTCTTTTAGATAACGTTAAAAGTGTTATAAGCATTCATTCGATAAGTATGCGATAATAAATTATTATTTTTTTAAAAAAAATCATGTTGCCTTTGCTTTAAGAAATAGCATCAAAAATCTATTCCTCTTGATCCCATTATTGAGTTATAATTGGCATTATGAAGGTTCTTTCCAGAAAGCTGAGCTTTGGCCAAATAGGTCACCAACATTCATTCCTATCTGGCCCCTGAAGATTCATAGTGGGCTGTCTCCTCGTCTCCTGCCTGTTTTACTATTTAAAAGAGAGAAATGTTCTCTCTAGTCCAGGGGTGTCAAATTCACGGCCCGCAAGTCTCAATACGTCACGTAACGATGTCATGACGATGCAAGTTTGACACCCCTGCTTCTAGTCAGTCATGTTCCTACATCAGGATGAGCCATGATTTTGTAAATTGTGAAACAATAAATAGGAAGCTGGGTGGGGTGTGGCCTGGAGTTTGCATTGATTCCCCCTATACACATATGTCCCACAATGAAAATCCAAGAGTAAAATTAAGGGATATTTCCAGATAGTGAAGAAAAGAGATTCAGTCATCCATAAATATCTATACCTAGTTGCTGGCAAATTTGTCGACTGACAGACATTTGTTTTATTTTTTAATTTTTCCACAATCTTAGGCAAAAACTAAAAAGGACCTAGATGACTGCTGAACTGCTGTTGCCAAGAAAAACAGGCAGCTGATGATAATAATGTTTGATGATGCTCTGAACATCACATATTCTCCAGCAAAGTATCTATTAATTTAAAAGAACTACCTATGATAATTGAAAGTCCTACAAAGACAGGTTTTTACAATATCTGGATGTAAGAGTGTTATCTAGTCAGTTTGGTCTAGTGCAGGGGTCTCCAACCTTGGCAAGTTTAAGACTTGTGGACTTCAACTCCCAGAATTCCTGAGCTAACATGACTGGAGGAGGAATTCTGGGAGTTGAAGTTCACAAGTCTTAAAGTTGCTAAGGTTGGAGACCCCTGGTCTAGTGGTTGGTAAGAAACAGGGTTTTTAAAATCATTTTTACACATATTAACAACTAAATGAAAATGTTACATTTTTCTTGCTCTGATCATTCCAGAATATCCAGACAGAAGGAAAGTAAGCCTGGAATGGATTTGACAGGGTTGGGTTTTCATGTTTACTCCAGGTTTTCCAGGTATCCTGCTTGTCTTGGAAAAGTGAAAAAGTTCTTAGATTTTGGCTTAGCATTAATTATTTTGAAAATACTGCGACCACAGCATCTAAGAAAACATTTTATTGTTGATATTTTCCCATGCCAATCTGTCTTTCTCTATTTTTATTTTGTATTTTTATATGTACATCAACTTAGGACCACAATTGTGCAGAAAAAAAAATTGTTGCCCAGTGAAACATTTGTTAAGTGAGTTTACCCCATTTTACGATGCCAGTTATTAAGTGAATCACGGCAGTTGTTAAGTTGGCAACAGTTGTTAAATGAATCTGACTTCTCCATTGACTTTGCTTGTCAGAAGATTGCATAAGGAGGTCTAGTGGTTAGGGCACCAGGCTAGAAAGCGGCACACCATGAGTTCAAGTCCCGTCTTAGCCATGAAAGCCAGCTGGATGACCTTAAACTAGTCACTCTCTTTGGTCAGTTAACCTCACGGGACTGCTGTGGGGAAAATAGGAAGAGGATGGTGTCTTGGATATGTTTGTCCCCTTGAGTTATTTGTAAAAGAATGACAGCCTGTAACCAAAGTCTTATTGATCAACACTAGTTGTATGAGAAGAGGCAGAGGCAGATTCAAGAGAGGACGGAATCTAGAATTGTTACGTTGAATCCTGTCCTCTTGAATCCTGTTAACTCTTATCTAGCATCAGTTTAGTGTTGAGTCTTAGTTGATTGTTGTGCATAGGCATGAGCAATAAATCAACTTAACTGGAACTTCATATGAGGTCCTGATTCTTCGTGTTTGACATTGATCTCCAAAGAG